GTGTTGTTAAGGAAAGTATATAGACTTTATTATCATAAAAACAAAAAGTTTTTTGAGAACGTCTGTTTTTTGGGTTGACAAAAGGATCAGCAGAAAAAGTGATTTTATTGATGATTTTTTTTTAGATTTTTATAATTTCCATAGCAAAATTTAGATGATAACCAAAATTTGGAGATTTTTTTTTAACAATTTTTTTAACCTGAAAATTTTCAATAAATAATTTATAGATAAATAATTCTTATAGTCAAAAATTCTTAAAAAATTATATGTTAAAATCCAGGTCTTTTTATATTATTGACAAAAAATTTAACATATTTTAATAAAACAATTTTCAAAAAAATTAAACTTCAAACTTTAAGTTTGCTCAAATAACAAAAAGACTTTCTAAAATACTTTTTTTATCAATTTTACTATATATTTTATTAACTTTTTTTTTTTTTATAGTGGAACGTACGCAAGGTGTGTGATCTTTATTGATATGTTATATATCCAGACAGATACCAAGTGTCTCTATAAATTAACTAGAAATCGGTTGGTATATGGATACCCTTTATGTCTCTACAAATTAATCTGTAGATTAACATTGCCTAATGCCTATATTACTATAAGATTAGCTATGCCAACCACTATTACCCAACTTATGCATTCATTTAAACACCACGAAGATATGCTCACACGTCAGGTGGAACTTCTGCAGGGGGGGAATTCTATCACTAGTTTAAACTCTCCTAAATCTGCTGGTTCATTATTGCAGGAAGCAAGTTATTATGGAATATTATTATAGAGACCAACCCCAGTATTCCAGTCACTGTTATCACCAACCCTTGGGATGTGCCACTAGCATATTGTCGCACTACCGTTTTCACCACCTGTGGAACTGGCGTTTTTGCTTGGATTTCGATTTAACCTTGATAATCCTCACCAGACTCACTTGGTCTTAACAATTTTTGCTTGGATTGTCACCTCTTGTGGCTGATAACCTTTTGTCCTTTCGATCCATTTAAGTTCATGTGAACACTACTCTAGGACTAAATCTTCAAGTTCCAGATTGGGATAGATCAGTTTAGGGTTAACCTCTTTGGGTTGTGTGACGGAGTCTGCCGTTACCAGTTTGGGTTGAGATTTTGTGAGCTTTTACCAGAATTAAACCAGAAGCCTTTCCTCATGCAACCTTCCGTGCTTTGACCTGTTTTTAGCTTGTGATCGTCAGGAAGACCAGAGGTCCCATCTTTATGCATTTTAACTGAATTTGAATATGATAAGAATTATTGGGTACGACATATGCAGGATATCCAGTAAACCTACATATGAAGGTAAATTCGCTTTTTGCCCCCTGTGGGTATTGAACTAGGGACATGTGTTTGGAGCACTACCCACTATACTATTGATTCACAGGTCATATATTTTATTAACTTTTAATATTTTTTATAATAAAATATATAGTAAATTTGATAAAAATCATATTTTAAAAAATATTTTTATTATTAGTTTACTTAAAGTTTGAAGGTTAATTTTTTGATAATTGTTTTTATCAAAATATGTCAAATTTTTTGACAATAATATAAAAAGATCTGGATTTTAACATATAATTTTTTAAGAATTTTTGACTATAAGAATTATTGATCTATAAATTTTTATTGAAAATTTTCAAGTTAAAAAAAATTGTTAAAAAAAAATCTCCAAATTTTGGTTCTTATCTAAATTTTGTTTTGGAAATTATAAAAATCTAAAAAAAATCAGATGATCAAGAATTGTAATAAAGTATTTGTTTTAAAATTTTTAAAACAATTGAATTAAATTTGAATTTTTAAAGGATATAAGGTTATTTATAATTAGTACTGTATATAGTTTGTTGCAAAAATCTTTAGATTAATATTTTTTGTAATTGTGATATAACCATTATATTATATTATGTAAAATTTTTTTTAAAAAAGTTAAAAATATAATGATTTTATTAAAAAAATTTAACATGCCATTCTATTATTATTTAATTTAATAATAAACTCACATTTTTTTTATATTGACTCTATTAAATTATTGATTATACTTTAAAATATTTTTACTTATTTCTCCTTCATAAACTATTCTAATTTATAAGTATTATTAGGTTGTCAAATTTTCATGTTCCTCTTAACAATTACTTATAAATTTTCTATAAGATTTAAATTAAAACTATTTAATAGCCAGTTTATAACAATATATTTATATATTTAAGAAAGCTTTTTATTATCTGACTTGTATATTTAAGATTATTGTTCTGTTAAAGATGCCAATGAGTACTTAGTATGTTTTTGATTTTAAAATATGTTTTTCTATGATATCAATATAAACTTAATCAATTATTATCTTATAAAAACAATAAAGATTTGTTTTTCTTTTGATACAAAATCTATTTCAAGCATTAATTTTTAATTAATTCTTTGAAATAAGATATATCAATCATTTATTCTTAAATCAATATCATACAATATTAAAGAAGAGCCAGATAGATATTTTATTCAAAAAAATTGTATAATTTTAATTATCATAAATATAATTTCAAGCCATTTTTATATACCTTTGTATTTGTAATTAAGAATTCTAATAATTTGATTTAATTTGATTTTTATTTTCAGATTTATATTAAATTAAATATATGAATTATAATTTATTATATTTTTTAATAATGTTTTGAACCTTATATGAGTTTATACAATCTGTTGGATTTTAATTTTCATAACTATATCTATAATTTTATTAATATTGATATTGCAATATAAAATACGTTATGAAATTTATAATTATACAAATATTATTAAATTGTACTATAGAATATACTTATTCTTTTTAAAAATACTTTATTTATCAATTTCTTAGTAAAAATTGTCAAATTTTTTTTAACAATTTGACTAAGTAATTTTGAAATAGTTAAATTAATTATTTTCAAATGATTTGATTATTTTTGATAAGCAGTAGTTCTATTCTTGCATAATTTTGTCAGGTTATAAAAAATAATTAATCTGGATATTTTCATAATCTTCTATATTTCAGTTGCTTTTTTTACTTTTGTTTTCATAAAGTTAATAGAGTTTGGCATATATATTTTTCATAATAATTGATATTACTCAATAATTAAAAAAAAAAAGATATATATAGAAATTTAGTAAGATTGTAGCAGGTAACAAATGATATAAAGTTGTAAATATGTTGTAAGTTTTACTTAATTTGAATATGAAATAATATATTTGTATAACTTTAAATTTTTGTTAATTAGTTTAAAAACTTTTGCAACAGATTATATATTAATAATTTATATATATATACTGTACATATTGTAAGTTAAATTTAAAAACTATTTATCATATTTGAATTTATAAATAAAACTTAACCATATTTGAAAAAATTATCAATGATACATAAATATTTCTTATAAAAAATTTAAAAACAACAAAAACTTTAATAAAAATCAAATACAAAACCTTTTAAATATTAATATTTACATTATTAACTTTGTAACAAATATTTTAAAATTTAAAATTTTCTTTAAAAAATTCCAAATCAATATAATTTAATCTAAAGAATACTAATAAAATCCAAAACAAAACACTTAAACTATTATATATTTATTTGAATTTCTATAAATTAAGAAATAATTTTTTAAAAAAAATTTACAAAATATCAAATACAAAAAAAATGGATTTTACAATATATACAAAATCAAAAAAAACAATAATAATAGCAACAAAAAACAACAAAAAATCTGACAAATAATAATATGATTTTATCTAATAAACCATTCTTCAACTATTCTTTCAAAATTTATTTATATTCTTTTAGGATAGAATAAATTATTATAAAGATATTAACTCTTCAAAATTAAATAATTGTTTTTTTTTTGTCTCAAGATTTTTTTTAAAAAATATATTTAAAAGATGATAAGCTGACATATGTATAATGAAATATATTTTAGTATCTTAATATTATTAATAAAGATTATACTTTTATATACAGTATATTATATAAACATTACTATTTTAATAATATCATTTGAATATAATTTTTCATTAATAAACAAGTACAATTACGAAAAAATTATTTAATTATTTTGTTACCGAATTTATAACAAAGTAAATAAACAAGTGTAACCATATACACACATTAAAGTTATTTTAATTGCTCAAATGAACAAGATTTTTAAATGAGAAAGCGCATCTCTCCTACAAACCAAGAAACATGCAGTTTTCTTTATTGAGATCAGCAAAAAAGCACAAAAAACAAAGACGCCCGATAAGAAATGGACCAATTTTTAATATCGGAGATTCCTTAAATTGCAGCTTTTCACCAAGGTTTCTTCTCCAGTTGCTCCGCTTTGCAAATCTTTTCCATCTTGTAGATGTTCTCCGCCGACTATGGTGCATACATGCAGGTGTATACGAGAAGAACATATTTAATGTTACTCAATTGAGATGTTATGCACCTTGACATTCTTTCATCTAGAACAAAAAAATCGATATTTTTTGTTTCACCGAAAAAGTAAAACATCACAAATTGTTACCTATTCAGATTTTTCAAGTCTGTAAGCCTTCTCATGAGATTTTCGAAGGTGATTTCTCCAGTATGCTTGACACTGGCAATTGGTCCTTGATCCAACATCTTTTGCCACAAGAATCCATTTCTTTCCATTTCTTTCGATTGATTCCTTCAGCTTCGCAATTTCACCAGGAGTCCAACGACCTAAGTTTACATTTGGATTTGTGGAAGGATGAAAATTATGATATTGTTTAACCTCTCTCAGGTTCCTGCCAGGGAAATTCAACATGATCTTTTCCCAATCGTATCCAAATGTTTTAACACAATCATAGAGCCTCTCTTTATCTTCCTTTGTCCAAGGTTCGCTGGTTACAAGGTGGTACCTTCTGTAAACATCTGCTGTTGGACGTCCAATTAAATCGCTTAATTGATCCCACTTTCTTCCGTTGTTTTGAATAAAGTCAAGCATAATTTGATCCTCGTGTTCACTCCATTTTCCACGTTTAGTCTTTGAAACGATCTTCCATCTGTTAGCTATTTGATTTTCGGTTTTGTTTTGCAAAAGATTTGTTTGAATTGTCTTCCATTCGTTCACTCCAAAAATTTCGATACCTTTTCTGAGTTTCTCATCTTCTTTAGCGGTCCAGTAACAATGATAAGAAATATTATTATCACTTCCACTTTGACAATCTATCCATTTTAGCTTTAACTCGACCGCGGATCTTTCTGATTGAAAATATTTTTTGGAAATATATGTCCAGAGTCGACCATGTTTTTTTACAGTTTCAAGAAGCGCTTTAACCTCTAGCGACGTCCAAGGCGTAACATCGTCTACATTGGATTTTTGTTGTGAATCGAACGACAAAGCCTTGTGCGCCTCCTTTATCGTGGAGGCACATCGAAAAAGTAACCCTCTCGAAGCATTCCAGAGAAAGTGATTTGTAGAAACTCGTTGAGACAATATCAACTTTTTTAACATACTGTAAATCACTAGGAAATAATATTAATATGTTAAATATTACGCCAATGATTTCACGTGACGGAAAGATCGCAGTTTGCAGTACTACAAAAAAAAAAAAAAAAAAGTTGTTGTATGCAGACCTCGTGTAACAAGGACTAAACCAAATGCACTATTTATGGATAGAATATATGAAGTTCAGCCGTCTGGCAGTTACGTTAAAATGGTATTCTTTTTGCAAACGGTTTTGGCGATTACTTCGGCCATCCATCATTTTTCTAAAATGAGATGAAATGAGAATTTACATTTTAGTTTGAAATTTCCAGATGTTACGTTCCCCAAATGCCGAATACCTCGGCATCTAACGATATAAAACTTTGTCTATGTTCCAGAATGCTAATTCTATGATCGTCATAACGCAAAAAAAAAAAAAATACAAAGTAAAAAAAAAAATATGTAACCAACCCCAAAATCTGGTAAACACGCCTTAAACGGATGTGGCGTTATTACAAAAATAAATGGCCCCACAAATAATGAAGACAACAGATATTAATTACATATGTGCGTATAAATGTATTGAACTGCTGTTGCTTTGAATAGTATCAAGTTTTTTTGATGAAGGGAGAGATTTTGTGAGGAACGAGTTTTCTATGATCGAGGTTCGACGAGAGAAAACAGGTTGAATATGGAGTACAAGTCGCACAAGTTGAGCACAGACAGTTTCACAAACAAGTGTAGACTTTAGAATTTTTTATTGGCCGATTAAGTTGAAGATCCCCCATACCCCACACTTTTTGTTTGTTTGAAAAATATACAGTACGTAAAATTATACGTGACCATTTCACCATCGCGCAATTGTTTAACAAATCCGTTTAGGAACAAATTTCCATGCCATTATCTTACGACACAAGGTCCCAGACACATAGAACATTGTTATACTTGAGAATTCCGAATTCCAGCAACTTCTTTTCTTCCCTCTCGACAGTTGGCATTTTTAAATCGATCAATGTACAACGTAGGAACTGAATTGGGCAGTGCTATGCAATAATGCTGTAATTCTGGTAAGCCACTTGGACAAAAAGTCGGAGTACTACTCGTACCCATGACCCAACCAATCAACAAACATGCAATAGTCATTGATCTTCTGCTTTATTTGACAAGTATTCTTAGTTTGGTAATATTGTTTGTTGATTTCTAAAGCGTAAATGTTGTTGTGACCCCCAAAGCAAAAATTCAAGGTGAGCTTTCTTGATTTCTTTTCGACCAAACTATCATCGTCGAAACTCTTTTTGATACAGAAAAACCATCACATAAAAATTTGATCCAAGTTTTTTGGTCATAAAATTGATTCTCTTCCTTTTTCTTCATCATGCTGTAAATACATAAGAAGACATATCTATAAACAAAGAAAAAAAAAAAAAAAAAAGAGAAAGAAAAAAAAATTTTTTTTTTTTAGATAAAGAAAAAGTAGTTGATTATCCACTTAAATAAACGCTCGAAGTTTAACCGTCCTTGCACCGTCATGGATGCTCTACAAAGTAATTATTTGATACCTCGTCCTCTGACTCTTGACTGTTTCGAAGAAATCATAGGATACCTAATTGATGATCCCGGAAGCCTCTATTCATGTCTCCTGGTAAACCGACTTTGGTGTAGAATCGCCATTCCACTTTTATGGAGTCATCCTTTTGAACATTATGCATTCGGGGAATCCGCGGCAGATATCATTCAAATATACATCTCCTGTCTACCTGAGGACGAGAGACAATTCCTGATTGATGAAGGACTGAAACTTCCTCCCCCATCTAGCCCTTTATTTGATTATCCAAAATATTTACAGAGCTTTGAGTCGGCTCGCTTTACGGGAGCTGTCATGTCGTGGCTATCCTCAGGGGTCAAGTCATGGCTTTCGCTTGTAGAAGAGCAGGGGTCAGACATACATGTGGACACTTATATTATTCAGACTGTCATTGGAAGTCTATTGTTTAGTCGTAGCAAGGGTTTAAAAGATTTGGAAATTGTTTACTTTGACGAGGATGATGATTCCCTAATCTCAGACATCATCTCGTTCGATAATGCTGGCGGAGCTTTGTCAAGGCTTGAAAAGTTTGTATTTGATTATTCAAGTTTGGAAGAGCAGGGAGACAAGCACTTGGGGATAATTTCAAATCTTTTTAATTTCATGTCTCAGTGCACTCGCAACATTCAAGACATTCGCATAGACATTGACATCCCATTTGATCAGGATATGGTGATTTCGGAGGTAGCACAGAGTTTTGCTCGACTGATTAAAGCCCAAAAGGCTTTAAAAGTGTTGAATATATTAAAATTTTGGAGGCCAGAAATCGTGTCATTTATCTTTGAAACGTTGACTAGTCAAACGAATACCCTGACATATTTAGAAGTTCATGAGTTATACCAGGGTCAATTTCAATCATTGTTGGACATTTTACCATCTCTCACAAATTTGGAGACCTTGCAATTTCATGGTTTCAGCGGGAACGACGGCGAAAACATGAAAGTTAACATAAGCGCAACAGGTCCCATCAATATTAAACATTTACATTACAAGGCAAATAAATTTCAAGTGGACATTTTTAATCTCATGGATCCACTCTTGCAAATGGCAGGTGGAAATTTGAGGACATTATCATTGGAGTGCGTTACTTCCGAAATCGTTTTGCTCATCGGTCGAAACTGCCCGAATCTTACGCACTTATCCTTATCATTAACGACACAGGAAATTCCAGAGTCCGTTTCTGAACTTCTTTCCTCCATGACTAACCTTCAACACTTTTCACTCTACATCTATTCTTCGGATCCTCCTTTTGCAACGACGGAAAATCTATTACAATTCTCACTTTCGATACCGCCTAGTTTACTTTATTTTGGTTTTTACCTAGCGATCACCCCCTACATCTTGGAATACTTTTTAAGAAACTGCAGGGCAAAACTCCAAGTGCTGACCATCCACAAATATGATAACAATTTATTACCAGTTATAACAAATTATGCGTCGGAATATGGATGCTTGAAGAAATTGTTGATCGACCTTGACGCATACCATGATGAATCATCATTATCAGAGATCATAGAGGAGGCAAAGAAAGTCATACCTATTGTTGATAATATCATTGAAACGTCTTATCCTTTTTCGGGGTATGCTGATTGTTTTTTTGTTTTTTTTTCTTTCCTTCGACGAACGATTTTACCTTGCTAACGAATCTTTTAATTTCACCAAATGCAGGCCATATCCAGAGACATATGTAGATTTATGGAACAGAAATATCACCGTACCTTCGTGACCATAAATCAGTAGAATGCTGTGCGTTATTTTTATTACCTTAACTCGGTTAATCGTCATAGAACACCCTTGTAATTAATACTAGAAAATTGATGCATTGCCGGTCATAATATTTTCATAATTTTTTATGTTAGACATATAGAACACAAAAAATTTTTTGTGCAGAGATCGCGTGTCGAGATCTGTACTTTTTTTTTTCTTTTCTTTAAAAAAAGGTTATCATACGCTCCTAGCGCTGGTTCATCTCTCTTCCACGCGTGGAGGAAAGTGTGATGATTGTGCACCGACCATTTTATTTTCAGAATTGAATTCTTGTTTCTATCTATCCTTTATATATAGACGTAGACGAGAAAAAAAAAAAAATCAAATACACTTTTTCATAAGAAAAAATTTACACATCACAGAATTCGTTTCGCATGAGAATTCAATACACACATTCGCCTATAAAAACGAAGGGAGATCAATTTTTTACAATACGTACTTATGTAATTTCCGAGTGACTCCATATGACGAAGACGACTGATAATCGACTACGATTATGTAATCAATTGATCGATGCAGTCGTAAAAATATTTTTGATAAAATGAATATCAACAAAGAGGCTTAATTTAAACATAGTTAACCTTGTTAATCCAATTTTCTTTAAGTGATAGGATTCATTGGCAATCTTAAATCTTTATTCTTGCTATGCTTATCTAAGAATTCTGTAACGATATGCTTCATATTTTTTTATATTTTATACGTAGTAATTTATTCATCATACTGTATATACTGTAGGTACATATATAAAATTCTCATTTAGCTTATTTAGGTAAAATGATAATTTATTACATTACGTACTCGTTTTTTTGTTTTTATATAACAGATAATATAATATCAAGGTATCCACCACGTGACTTTAAACCAAATTAAAAAAAAGTAAATCGACGTGATGATTGGGGGATAATCATTGAACATGTATTCACGCCTTCCAAAGTATGTCCAGGATTCAACGGAGGCGAAAGGCGAAGTACGAAGAATTGGCAAAATAAAAAGAACGTAGACCCTTTCTGTTTACATCTTTTTTTTCCTTAAACAAAGAAATCACCTCCAAGATCCGAAACGACAAAAAAATTTGTGCCTAATTTTGTCATGAATTCTATCGAGTCAACGATCAAAGAACCGGCAAAAGCTTACGAAACAAAAGTGAAAGGAAAAGTTATATTACTCGATAATCCTCTGAAAACTTCGGAAGAAAAGAAAAAACGATTAAAATCAAAAAAAAAAATAAAGACCTTGAGCGCAAAAGAAAAAAGAGAAACCAAGATATACGAAATTCCAAAAGAATGCCATAAGTAAGTTTCCTTGATTAGACGCGTTGATGCAAGTGACTTTTAACAATTGTGCTGCCTTTATTAGATATGAAATTTTCATACCTTTACATGATCTCTGGCTTCAATACATGGAAGAACTTGGTGGCAACTCTAACCCAGCTGTTTTTTCCCAAAAATTATTAAAAGCCGACTTCCATGGCGCAATTCTTACGGGTAAGGTTAAATAGGAATTTGTTCGAACTCTAAAATCCAATTTTTAGTAATTCCATGATCATAATTCCAAGTTTCAAGGTCGAGGTGTGCATCCTACATTGGAGTAACGGGAATCAACATTCAAGAAACTGAAAATATGTTCAAGTTAATTACGCGAGAGAATAAATTAAAGAGTAATATGGATTTTTTTTTGCCCTTTTGGTGTAAATTAAATCATGGCACTAAATCCTTTATTTTTTTTTTTCGTTTTAACGAAACAGATATTCCAAAAGGTCACAGTGTATTCACATTCCAATTTCGCGACCACTTGTACACTCTGTATGGAGATCAGTTTAGGTTTCGATCCGCCGTAAGGGCAACAAAAAAATTTAAAAACAAGCCTACCATTGATCTTTGATGAACATGAGTTGATCTAAGCAACTAATATACATAAAATACTAGATCAACTCCACAATCGAAGTAAATATTATGGTTTTTTCTGTTATACATAATTTCAGTCATAATTTCAGGTACACTTAAAGCCCGTTAAAAAACTTCATATAGAACTAAATAGAATTTGGTTACAAGATAGTTAAGAATGAGAGGGCGTTGATGTTTGGGCGGCTCCTTGCATGATTGGAACTATGTTAAATAAACCATTAAGTTCCACATTATCGTTGATTTTTCAAAAACAGGGATAAAATGGATCTCTATATTGGGAAATTATCTTTGAAGCCGACAAAATGTTAAATATATTTCTCGACCCTATTTTTTAAATAATAAGTATACAATGAAATTTTTTAGGATCACAATTGTAGGGTCCAAAAAATCCCCGAAATAATTAATGAATCAATGTGATTGATGCATATTTTCTATTAGTGATGATGTAATGCTAGCTGGCGTTATCCTAGAACCCATCCATGTATTGAATATCTAATTAACTAATAAAAGAAGGTTTAGCAGAAATAATGGAACCAAAAATGGTTATTCCTTGTTCATTATTAATGTAATAACACAATGGTATAATCTATTTAAACAATTTTATTGGAAGTAGATAAATAATGAATGATTATCTGGTAAAGATTTTAACCCCACTAATATGAGTCAATGGTAAAATAGGCTTAGTTAGATGACTTGATTTTCAATTTCCACTCTTCGCTATCTATTAAACTATTTATGATCTGTATACCCCGATGATCGAATATTGGATTCGTTTCGAATGATTTTTGTTCGGCCAATTCTATGGCAACTTCCTGTGGGGTACTACCACTTGTCACGGTTTTCTCAAGTATAAATTTTGTTAGATTATATATTGAATACTATAAATCAATTATTTTTAGAAAATTAGTATGTTTTTGTAAAAGATTTCACCAGGAAAAGTTACAATGCAATAAATCACGAATAATGTACCTCCCAAGTGTCTCCAAGATGTTTTTCAAATAATGGATCGTTCTCTACATATCCAGCTGCCTCATCGGCACAATTTACAATGCCTGATGTTCATACGAGAAGAAAGTAACTTTAGCGACACATTTTCAACTTGCGTTGCATTTATTCAACAAATATAAATGCTTACCCATTCGATTAACTAAAAAATCTGTGAAATATCATATGTGAAAATTAGATTAAACATTATAAGAAACATCACATTTTTTATGATAACCAATTACCAGGAACATAGATAATTCCCCTTTCAGCAAGAAGCTTATCATCTTTGTATAAATCTAATGATAATGACTCGAATTAGAGAAAATTCCAAGTTTCTTGAATAAAAATGTTGGTAAATTCTCGTACCACCCAACTGATTATTCGCTGCGCCACAAACAATCTTCGCTTTGATATTGGGAATTGTTTCAGGATTAAGAATTCCACCAACCGCACTTGGGACCACTGCGTCCACGTCTATGTAATTATAACTTTGAATTACAATCCAGAGACGTTCACTTGATGATTAAAATGATTAAACGAAATGAATCACCTTCGAACAAAATGGAATGATCATAATGTTCGGTGAATCGGAATGTAAGTCTTCCTTCTTTAAATTCCTTGGCAAATCTGACTTCTGCAGCGCTAATCTTCTGCAAATCCACATCACTTACAAAAATATGTTTTACTTTTTCTTGCAATAATAAATGTATAATCCCAGTAGCCACGTGTCCTGCGCCCTTTATGTTGTAACCGAAGATTAAAAAGACAAACGATAATGTTAAATCACATAATCAAAAATAAAAATGGTTGTACCTGAACAGCGAAAGTACTTCCTTGCAGAGAATCCTTGCCAATATACGAGAAGACAGCTTCAAGAGCACGCACTACACCTCGGGCCTTCGAAAGGATTACATCCGTAAAGGTATTCATAATAATATTATTAACGAACTTGTTAAAAAATTCGCACATAGATCCACATCGTTAACATGACTACCGTTGAGTAACTTGGATTACCACTACCACCAAATTCTGGCGGAATACACGTTGTAAATCGTGTTTTCGAAAAAATTGCTGCTACGTCTTCCTCTGTAAATAAAAAATTTTTTGTGTTCAGTGATTGCAATTGCATGCAAATTTTATCGGTATAATGAAATACCTTTAACGCCTACATCTTCGGCCGTTACGTAAACGCCTTTCAGGGAACTATGCATAAATATCGAGATGTTATTATAATAACCGAGACCGTGATGGCTTGATGACGTGGAAAAAATAGTACTCGGTGATATAAATACCTCAAAAAAGATCCATATTCTTCAAACACGATTTTACGTTGTTGAGGTGTTGATTCCTGATTTCTAGTGATATCAATCGTTCAATCGTTAGCTATTTAAACCATGACCTACTTCTTGAAAAAAGAATGTGCATTTTTACATACAAACCAACTCCGGTATTCCGAACAATAATACCTTTCCCGCCACCCCACCTATCATATGCTGTTTAAATTTGCGACATCATAATTTTTACATAATGAATGCAATCTATTTTAAAACAAACCATATATTGGCCAATGCATTCTTGTGCGTCATTCCTCTTGATAATCTGATTCCGTCGCGAAAAAAATCTTCGACAGTCTCATAATTCCAATTCCTTACCCCTCCTGCCGCAGCTCCCCGACAGGTCCTATGTACAAAAGCACTCTTTTTTTTTTTTTCAATATACAGTGAATCAGTTAAACGCAAACGAAATTCCAGAAGAGGACCGAATACAATATCGAAGCCGGAGTTTTAATGATCTCATTACTTGTAAGACTCCAGATACTGGACCAATCTATATATTGTATATTGTATATTCAGGATAATTATGTTTAAGAAAGATGTCAATGTTCAGACACACTTTATACATAGAAATTTCCATACTTGGCCAAAAATTGCTTCGTGTTTGTCAAAATCTTTCTTCTCGTCAACAAAAAATCTATTAATGCAAATTATTTATTTCTTTCCTTTCCTTTAAGAACTTTACGTATAAAATCCAACATCAAAACAATTGCTTACTCTCCGATAGGTTGCAGGATAGGATGTGATGTCACTACTTTTCCAGTTTTAGGATTGAATATGGCATGAAACGCGTTAATTCCGTGAGAGCGAAGCAAAGAAACAAATCTAAAATAATGCTACAAGAGATAAATCGTTTGGCAAATAAAGTTACAAAACACACGATATTTCCTAATGGCAATACCCCTTTGGGTTGAGGGAAAGAATCGGTTTGGTCACCATCACGAATTCAATACTTGTGTCAACACAACCAACTAAAAAATTTTCGATAATCGTCTCTTATATAGCACGTACAAAAAAATTCAAGTCTATCAATTCCAATTTTAGAAATCGTTCTGCTTGTACGCGTGTAGAATTTTTGTAAAAAGTTAATGTCTCTAAAATGGAGCATACGAGGTTTAGACCCTTATTATAAATAATCTTTTCGCTAAAAATTTTATTTTATAAAAGGTGTCTTGAAAAAAAAACAGATTACTATCCTAATTGAATTACAAATAGATAATAATATTACTTTCTATTGTGTTTTTTTTAATTATAAATTTAATCACAAGATAAGGTTTTATTTAACAATAACACTACAGAGAAAACTAAAGATATTAAAAAGATCAATCATTAAACACGTGTAAATTTTTAAAAAAGTTTAAAACTAGTTTTAATTTTTAATGTAAATTGTGATTTAAGATTATTAAAAATAAAATAATAATAATATTGGATATTGAAATAGAAAATGTGATCGAAACAAATAAAATTTTCAGTAATTCTGTTTAAATATAATTTTAGAAAATAATTCTGTGCTATTAAAATATATGAAAGAAGATGACAATATTTTATTATAAAAAATAAAAAAATAACATAAAAATAAAGTCATATAATTAAATAAAAAAATAAATAATAATATATTTTAGTTAATTTCTTTAATTGATTTTCTCTTTTTGATTTTCTGTTTTGTTGAATATTTTCTTTTTTAGAATTTTTAAATATGTCATCTTGACTTTATTTATTTTTATTGTAAATAAGCATAAAATGCAAGACTTTATTGATTAAATGCTAATCATATCCTTACATTAAATATTTATTTAAGTTAATATTAACCTATTATATATATAACTTTTAATATAACATTATATAAAAAA